GGGTTTAGGGTTCAGGCTTAGGGACATAAGGTTTCAAGGCTCTGAGAGTAATGTTACGCTTCGTGGCTGAGGGTTAGGATCAGAAGGAGTTCCCGTCATATGCTGCAATCGGTGTTGAATCGCAGCCTGAGGAGAAATGCGCGCACGCCAAGAGTTTACAAAATTTAGGTTTAAACAGCACAGGCTGTACTGAGACCGTTAGAGGGCAGACAGAAAGTTGACACAAGTTAGAAGATGCAGCGATACAGGGGATCTTCGTATCTTCGTTCAGGATCAGAAACGGCAAGGCCCACAATGCCAGACCCTGCACAAAAACGCAAAGGCAGCAACAGTACCCTCAAGTGGTGTGCCCGATCGAGGCGTATTTGAAGTACCCTGCATACTGTAACTATATCAGGAACCTGGGATAATACTACCGGTGCTGATTTCTGCATTGCCCGGCTGTTATACCCCACCCAAGACCCTTAGGCTCAGGCCTAGACTCCCCTCAACGAGGCATCCGCTCACATACAACAAAGCTACCAAAGCCTTCCTACTTGGTAAGTATCAATTGTAAATGTGCTGTAACTACCCTGAACCTTCAATTGAACCCCAAACCCCACAGCCTCCAAGCAGTAGCAGCCCAGCGCCCAGGCTGCTTCGGCGTGCCATGGCTTGCTCACAAGGGAAAAGTCCCCAAACCCTACACCCTAAACCCTCAACCTTAATTCCATGTCGCTGGAAGCTGCATCCGCATGGCATGTGGAGGCCACAGTTCGGGAGTATCCATGGGAGTGATGAAGAGGTTCCAGAATATGATCCTGCTTCAAGCTACAGGTTGTATGAATGACCTAGGCTATACGCATCAATGAGATGAGACGTAGATAGGCAGCCCATGGTGGCTGACCTTGCTGTCTTGTGTTTGCACGCATAGCTGGAGATGCTTAAGCCAGCGATTGGGCCTCATTCTTGCCAGCCAAACTCCTCCTTGAAAACGTTGGATCATTCGGCCCTAATGTCCCTTGGGGCCCCATGTTTTGAGAAACTCCCAATTTGACTTCAGGATTTAGGATTTGGAGGGTTTAAGGTTTACATCGTCGAATAGGACGTAAGCCACTAAGCAACACTGCGAAAGAAACCCACATCTGGGTCTTCTGGGGTCTACATGATTTGCCTGCCTTATAGAGGGCTATACAGGCATCATATAGCAATTTTTTAGGGGTTATATAGGGATTATAAAAAAGGATGTGTGGGATTTTATGGCTGAGAGGGCTAAATATTTGCCAACAACGGAGAATCAAGTGGAAAAGAGAAAGGACAATCAAATGGAAACTGGGCTGCTGGGTCCTGACCAATATCAGCAGCCAGCCAACTCTACAGTGGCCAAAGCGCCCAGTATGGTTTAGGGCTTAGGGTTTGGGGTTCTATGGTTTAGGGCCACTTTTCCGCAGTGCCAAAACCTGAAATGCTGCAGTTTGGTACCCTATTCTAGATCACCCTACGGGCGGGCCGACATAGCTTTGCCCTCATCAAACTGACCGGAAATCGAGAAGCTAGCAAAAACGCCCCAATGAACGCTCAAAAGGGACATCTGAGTAGGCATGGTAAGTTGACCTTGACACGGAGTCCTTCGTAGTGACGACGCTTGTCAGGATAAACACACACGCACCTAAATTGAATATTCCCCGTACGAGACGTTGTATGTTGGGTTGCTTGATATGAGGCTGAGGGTACTATGACGAAATGCCTGCCACATTTGAGCTGGCTGAGAACCTAGAGAACCTTCCGTGCCGATTTTCAGCACAAAGGTGCTCAAATGTACATTAGCTTATCACCAGCACTGCTGCTTCATGCTAGCAATCAGGTCCGAATGCATCATGTACGGGAGGGGGTCCCGATTTGCCTGGAAGAGATCCAGCAAGTCTTCAGCGGCCGGCGTCTCATCGGCAAGCTGACGCAAGACCTCGAGTAAGGCCGGGCCGACGAACTCTGCCTCAGTCCGCAGAGCATCCGTGTCGTTGGCGGCCGCGGCAATGGCTCGCAAGGCCTCCGCAGCGAGGCGCGAGGTTCGCACCGGGTGTTCCAAGGTACCTTGGGAGGTCTCGGCGACCACGGACATCAGGGAAGTTGCACAAAGCCGTAGCTCGGCAGCATAGCCGTGGCGCGCCAAGCGCTCCACGGTCTGCACCAACTTCCAAGGCGGCCACCGCATCTCCGTGTCCGGCGGCCAGGGCTCCCTGCGCACAGCGGCAGCTGTGGCCAGAGCCAATGAGATGAAGAAGTCCTCCGAGCGCCACATGGCTGAAAAGCCCACATAGCCAAAGGTTGCGGAGCTCATGTCAGAGGTCACAGGCATGTTCAGGTCGCACAAGTTGGCTAGAAGCATGCAGACCAGAAAGATGTGCTGCTTCACCGGTGCCCCATCTGCAGACCTGTACCGAGTGGCCCGCAGCAGAGACTCCACCTTTGCCTCGGATTTGGGATGTATAGGGATTATAGATGGGTTATATACGCATGATGGAAAAGAAAATGCAAACTACTATTGAAAGTTTCAATTTTGGGGTTGAGTGTTTGCTTAAACAACCCCCTTGGGCCAGCTACCAACAGGTTCACCATGTCATACGTTCAAGAAGATGTACCATGACGATTACGACATTTCTTGTGCGGCTGAATGTCTTGGATGACTGTCATGTTACCGCTACATATCGGGGGAAGGGGGGAGGGGTCCCAAAATTTTGGGGGGGTTCCGACAACGGAAGTGGGCATACTAATTCAAGGTACTTAAGCAGCATTGTTGCTTTATACATACCACGAACTAGGTTGCACTTTCAGATGCGCAGCCCCGTATCCCCCAAAATACTGCTTGTGGCGGGAAGGCTGGCCCCACCATCTGCGTCCCGTGGTTGCAAGGAATTGCAATACTTCAGCGAATCCAAGCGGTACAAAAAATATGAACAGCAGCATGTAGATAAATGTCTCCCATATTTGCATACGTGCGCATGAACATACATATGTTCGCACCACATAGGTATGTATATGTATATGTATATATGCGTGTGCGAAAATACATATACACATATGTAAACAACACTCAAGAGCCTAGTGGCAGAGCAAAGTTCTCGGCAAAGGTGCTGCCGTGAGGTTCGGGCGTAGCAGAGGTGGACTAGGGCCTTCATCGCTGGGCTTTCAGGAGCTCAGAGGTTGGGACTTGGAAGTTTTGGGTTGCCCTGGAGTGTAGGATCCTGACCCTAGCTGTAGGATCCTCAGGTTTAGGGTTTAGGGATTTAGGGCTTGGGGTTACACAAGGGATTTAGGGTGTAGGGCTTAGCAGTTGGGGTTTAGGGCCTAGCTTGGGTAGGAAAATTCCCAGGTCACAACTCAAAAGTCCATGATGGCTACCCTTGTAGGGTCGCGTATTGGGGGCGAGAAGACAAATAGGTTTCGGAGAGTGATCTCTTGCTCTCCCCACAATCTCCAAGACCCACATGTTTGGGAAGCGCTTGTAGGGACAATGATACCTAGATGGGGAGGGCTTTAATTTCTTGATGGATCTTATACTGAAACGGATATTGATTTGGGCACCGACTTTTTGGGGTACCCTTACACCCTATCACCAGTCCTCCACGGCATGGATCTGCAGTGGTCGGAAGGGCTTGAATGTGCCTGGGCCCGTGTCTTGCTAGCCCAACACCCCTTTTGTTATTGCTGCCTGGGGTCACTTAGGGATAAGGCTATAGATGGACATGGAGGGATATATTTGAGTATATAGAGACACATACCGATATGTGGCCCAATACCCCTTGACAAAAAAAACTTTCCTTAACTCATAATCGGGATGCTAATGGTGTACAAGGATGTTGCAAACGTCAACGTGCGTTGGGCCCTATGCAATTTGCTAGGCTACAGAAAAAGAATCCGGCTTTAGAGTTTACTTGCTGGTGCTTCAGGGGCAGTGATGGAGTGGATCCATCCCTACGGGAACTCTCATCTTCCCCCCCATAACAAGATACACACCCTCGCACCCCTGAATCCTGCCTTACACCCTCAACCCTAAACCCCTTTCCTTAGCCCACATTACCCTAGGGAGAACAAAGGATCCTTTTTGCAAAAATATAAGGAATCCCATACCCCAAAAAGTAAAAAGGATCTGCAACATTGATCCAGTTTCAGCAACCGTAAGGATCCCAAACAATGATCAAGGCGCCATAGTCACAGGCTATGTCCATGAGGGGCCCGAGGAAGCCGCGGAAAGCCTGGGATTCGGGCACCTGACAGCTTCCCGAAACTTACTTTTGCCAAAATAGGGTTCAGGGTTTAGGGTTTAGGGTTTAGGATTTAGGGTTTAGGGTTTAGGGTTTAGGGGGTGGGAGGCAATACAGCTTCTCTCATCAGCCCATGGGAGCCATAGTCTGAACTCCTAGTATCCCCCCAAGTAACCCCTGTCATACGCCCCTATATTATATAATCCCTTATACAGCCCCTTTCAAATAGTTTAGACTATGAGCCCATATACATGGGATCGCTCTTGTGGAGGCTTGACGCGCCTGGTGTGCCACGCAGGCCACGAGGACCACCGTGAGGAGCATCAGCCCCTGCCTTGCCGGTGGCGGTCATTCTTATTATGACGATTATTCTTATTATTTGTCTTATTATCTATTATTGGTCTTATTATAACTGGTTATCTGTTAACTTTATTTTCATTGTTGTTCGGGTTTAGGGTTTAGGGGAATCAGGATCCAAAAGCAGCAAGTTAGCACACGGTCCCTAAATTGGAGTTTGCGTAATGAGGCGGCCCAATCTCATCCCCAGTATGCTATATACTTCATATCAAAGCTGCGAAAACAGACCCCTAACTTTTGAAGACCACCTTTCACAATCCCTTAGCAACATAGTCCCATACAACACATGAGCCACAGTCTAACCTCTGCATCCCCGTGAATAAGCCCTATAACGCTCGCCTACATAACCCCCTACACATCCCCCTTTCAAGACCCTAAACCCTAACCCCCAACCTGAACATACATATATATATATATATATGGTAGTTTCCCAAAATTAGGGGACCCCAATATACTATAGTCCTTATTACTGGGACCCCCAAAAGGATACCCATAATTTTGGGAAACCCCCATATATACGTATATATCTCTTCCTTCAAGTCTACTAACCACCAATGAGCTGCTGCGGCTGGTCCTCGCACTCAAGGTTGCTGAGCACAGCCTGTTGGAACCTGGGCCAGGAAGAACACAGTTGGGGGTTTAGGGGTTTAGGGTGAAGGATTTAGGGGTTTAGGGCTTAGGGTTGAGGGCTTTGGGTTTAAGGGTTTAGGGGTTTACGTTTAGTGGTTTTCAGATTATGGGTTCAGGGTTTAAGGTTGAAGAGTTTAGGGTTTAGGGTTTAGGGCCAGGGCCCAAGGAAATGCCAGGAAGATTGTCCTCTCAGGGGGCACGCAAGAAATATCATTGGGAATTTACGGGGTTATCAAAAGTATGATCCCTTGCTCAGTACCCTGAATATTGAAGGGCCGCAATCTACAAGGGATCCAAAATGGAATCAGATTTTTCATGCTAACCTCTCTAAATGTGGGATCTTTTCGAAACCCATCTCCATGCAATTCCCTGAAATGCACCCACTGAAGCTCCTTATTATCCCCTTGTTAGGTCAGCCTACACCCTAAACCCCAACCCTCCTCCTACGCCTCCCCACCCCAATTAGCGGAACCCACGCCCCAAACCGTGAACCCTGAACCCGCAAACCAATCCTGAGAAGCTCTTTTGTTTCAATCGAGAGACAGCCCGGATTCGGCTACCAAGTATGCAGCTTGGGCGTGGTCCGCAGACACCTAGATGGGGATTCCAACAAAAAATTGGGGCCCCCTTCAACAAGGATTGGGGGGGCAATGTAGAAGTTACGTAGGGGCTGCTGTTTAGGAAGATATATCAAGAAATGCAGGGCGCCGAAAAAACAACAGTAAAGTTTTGGGGCGTATACTCTAGCTAGGCCATCTAGATGACAATTGTTAACATGATAAGCAGATTTTGCTAGGTCCTGACTTTGGGGTGGGGATACCAAAAACCAAAATCCTCTTTTTCAAATACGGTTTTGGAGCGTAGTATGCTCTATAGGTATGCAACTACGGGGTTTCCAGAACTCAGAGGCCCCACTTGGGAGTCTCCTATCATAAATAATCGTCTATTGGAGCCTGCATTGGATTAGAAATGTTATTGACAGTTATTGAGTTAGTGTATGAGATCTGGGATTGATAAGAGTTTAGGCACAGGAATGTAGGAGCAGAAATATTCAGAATGGGATTTGAGGATGAGTGAAAACCCTCAACAAGAGGGAATACAAAGGAATAATCTTGGTAATTGTTGAGGCTTCCGAGTTGAGGTGCTTCTTGGGAGGTTCAGCATTCAGGCTGGAGAGGGTTGGTTTAGGGCTTTGTGGTTTAGGGTTTAAGGGTTATAGTACCCCTTAAGCAGCCGCCTCGATCAGCAGAAGTAGCGCCTGGGCCCGCCTCTTGCTTTCCGCTGGAACGGCATAAGTGCGCTTCAGGAGCTCCTCCGAGGGTTTCGGGAGTTACGGTGCAGGCCTTAGGTTCTAGGGTTTAAGGCTTAGGTTTCAAGATGACGGTTCAAGATCTATTCTTTAGGGTTTAGGGTCGGCAGTTCAGGATAGAACTTAATTATCTGGAAAGCCTAGATACCCAAAAACGAGCTGCTACTTGAAACCAAAATGGTAGGGAAATTGGGATAGAAAGCAGACCATAATTTGGGTCCACTGGCTTCTAGCGTTTAGGATTTGAAGCCTAGGTTTGGGATTTGGGGCTTAGGGGTCTTGGGGCGGAGGCTTGTGGCTTGCATAGCATGTGGGGCTTTGGGTTTGGGTCGATGGTAGCGCCGGTATTCCAGAGACACGAAGATCATTCCATCAGGCTTTATTGGGGACTACTATACTTACTGGGGCTTTGTAGGAAAGAAGGGATATACTGCATAGGGATCATGTTCCCTTATTTCCTACTAACCACCGGTAAGTACAGGGGTTCTCATAAGGACGAAGACTATCACAAAGGCTTGTGAGGAATCAGCATGGATATTCAACTACGCCGTCCAAGACTGTGAGTTGTGAGCGACCTACTGATGAGTTCTTGATTTTGGGCATTAAAAGCAGCAGGGGCCACCCTGAAATCCGAACTCGGAACTCAAAACGAGGACTCTAACTTTTGGGAAAAACATTTGAGGCGCGGTCAGGTGAGGTCGTTGCACTTCGCCACGTAGACTCTGCACCCTCAACTCTGAGAACCATGGTTGATGCAAGAACCATGACCTCTATATGCTAAAACACCAAAATTCAAGTAAAAGGTACTTTTAGGCATCAACTCTCACAGTCACTAGCAGCTCCTTCAAATAGGTGAGAGTGTAGGATTGACAGCGGCGGAAGTCCAGCGTCTTGTCCTTCGATTTCCATCAC